CAAAGAAAAGTTTAGTATAATCATAAATTGAGATAAAAAATTTAGTTAATACTAGCACACAGTTTATATCTGTCTAGTACCCTCAATTGTTTAGAATATTTGTCAAAAACTATTAGTTTATATTATCTGTGAGATGGTTCAAGATCCAGAACAATGCAATTCACTCTACTAATATCAGTCACCTGCACATTCATAATTTATATTAATTTTTGGCAAATAAAGGTGGGTATATTTTTTCAATTAATTAAAATAAATAAATTGATATGCCTTATAGATCATATTCTCTATGTATATATATTTACTGTGAACGAATCCGCAATCATTAACTAGGTTCACAAGGAATTTTATAAATTAAAGAACAAGCTTATAACGCTAGTGAGGAAGAGCTGATCTAAATTAATTTTTTCCTTAATCCTTTCTAATATCTCTGCCCCATTTTATATTAAATAGATTACCTCTGATTGCCTCCCTTCATAAATTGTTATCTCGTCGTCATGCTCACTCCTCTTCATTTGTATTCATTCCCTCTAAATCCATACATTATCGATTAATTTAATTATTACAATAGAAACAATAAGGGCTCAGTAAAATAAGTCACAAATGAGGAGATATAATAGCAAAGGCTAAAGGGATCATTTTAGGGCGAGTCAAGTATAAAATTATGTTATGCATACAAGAAGACTAATATAAATTAGTTAGTATTCTGCGTGCATACTCATAAGAAGGCAAACTATAAACTAAATTTCGGATTGACTTTGAGACATTGGGTTATTTGTATCCGACATATAATGTAATTATTCAACCAATTTTAATACGCAATTTGGTGAACATAATTAGATTAAAGTAAAACACATTTCTCTTCCGAGTTTTATGAAAATTACAAAATCTTTTTTTTACTTTTTGTTTTAGCTTATATTTGTGATAATATTATATTTAATATGAGATAATTTCTAACTATATTTTCAAAACTTTATAAATTTATTATATCGTAAGCCTTACCAAAAACAAATTATCCTTTAAACTATAAGAGAAAAATGATGCGTAAAGGTCATTTATTTCCAATTATTGTTTCTTTCTTATAAAACATGAGCTTAATTTATCTATATATTATGCTTCTCATAATCAGAGTGTATAGATTTTATACCCAAAGTTTAGTTATCCCATTCTATTAAGTTTTCCTGTGCGAAGACTCATATCTAAATTCCAGACATCTTCCATTTGCTGGAATTGGTTAATCGTCGAAGGATATTAGTAAATGTACTACAGAAATTAGTAAGGGTAAACGTTTATATGTCATTATCAAGCTATACTGAAGCTAAATGAATGCAAGTTCATGCACTTAAATCCTGCACACGTAGCTTATCTGGGAAAAGACAGTTCTAGCTTTATAGACTATATTAAATGTCTATTACATTGCTACTAATTGACCCATCAACTGTAAGTGATTTTAGTGGTAATTTTAAGTATGCCTAAATGAGTTTTTAGTTAAAGTTGTAGTTTCTTCTAAGGGAGAAGGGACGAGAGCCAATGGCTAATTCAAGAATATGTAAACAGTTTTATATGCATAGTTTCTATTCTCCTCACTGAGGACTAGCAGAAACTGGAGATTGTTATTTTGGACAATGTTAATTTCGGTGTTAGTTTGACCTCGTTTTCGCAACTTGGTCGGAGCGTTAGACAGAATTGATGGGAGGTATACAGTTGTGCATTTTCTGCCATAGTATTTGTGGTACCCAGAATCGGACTATTGACTTGCTACATTTCCAAAAATTTTGCTGGCATCGTCAGTGAGAGGTGCCATCATTTGCATAGAATTACAGCTTATCAGAATGACAAGTGAAGGCAATCCCCTTGACCAATTTTATGTTTAAACATTGTGGCACCACTCCTCGCCCTTATTTTTCATTTTACCTTCTAGTGCTGCATAGTGTTCTCTTAGCCCTTTGTCATATGGCTCATCTACCTATTTACACAACTCTGTGCTAAACGAGGTCGAACCAACATTATAAAGCTAGGTCGCCTGCGACTTAACAGAGGGCCACACCATCTTGGCCTTTACATATATGATAATGTTAATTTTAGCCCTTCCACAGCGAGCATAAATTAGGCAATTAAAACTCCATAATATTTTATTTATATAAAGTATCTTTTAATATATGGTTGTTTTCTATCAATATTATTTGAGGCTACACACTCTTTCATCTATTTACACCTGTTATCCTCCTATAAAGTACGAGGATTTGCATTACTTGTTTCGCGATAACTACCTTTCTTTGTCAAATCCACTATTTTAAAGCATACCTTATATGCTTCAGGCGACTGTGGGATGAAGATTTGCTATAGAATGTTTGATATTCGAGTGAGTTAAATATATAAAAGTGATTGTTAACTAATAAAATTTGATTGGCTAAAAGCAAAATTAGAGAGCCTCTTGCCCAATCATGCCAAAACGTATACATAAAAAAACATAATATTCTCTTCTAATCTATTAGATAATCGTGTAAAATGGAAAAATTTAGCTTTTGTTTATCTCCGAGATAAAATATTAGTTTTATATTACAGCTATTATTTACTTCGTCCAGATATGATTTTACTTAAATGAGTGTAATTCACGAATCTCCATAGAATTGCTGACGCAGAAAATAATATCTATTATTTTCACTTATTTAATGTGAGGCAAAGGGGAGAATATTATGTTCCTTTCTACTTCCCTATAAAAAATAATATTTGAGACTAATCGTTACTGCCATCCTTATAATTTAATTAATTGACTTGATATTAGTCAGTGACTTTGATCTCATATTGAGGAAAATCCATTAGATTGTCGTGTTCACTATCAATCTAAATCCGTTATATATCTGACTTTTTAAAAGTAGCTTATATCACAACGCTTGCAAAAACAAAAGATTTAATTTTATATGCTTTGGATATATAGATAAATAAAAACATGTTAAAATATATTAGCTGCATTCGTCCTATCTTATTTAGGATGACAAAAATACTGGTTTATGTTAAAATAGAATCTTTTTTCATAATACGAAAATTTATTTTTAGGTAAGGGTGAAATTTTTTATTTTTAACATAATTACATCGCCAAATCACTAGCTCTAACGCACAGATTCTCTTTTATTTACTGCATGAAAGCTTTTATAAACGTACTCTTCATATACTCACTAGCTACTTAAACTTATCTAGCAATACGTTACAATGATGCTGTAACATGGATAATTTTAAGAGCGTAAAGAACTCTTTCAACTATTTTCACATTATGCTGTCTTATTCTGAGCTTATATTATGTTACAATTTTTGTATGTGTCTATGCTTATGAATACTTCGAACTAACATAGCTTTAAATTATTCTGACTTGCCACATATAACTCTCATTAATTTACGTGACCTAAATGATTAAAGATAAGTAAATTATCGACTTTCCATGATTAGAGAATTACACTTTCTGTTAATCGGCGATTGATATTGCATGTCACAGAAATGCTAACTTTAACTTGGATCCAAATAAATCTATTATACTCATTACTTAAATTTAAACGACTATAAAATATTGGTTTATTTTTAACTATGGACCTACGAACAAATATAGATCTGCATCTTGTAATTATTTACTCAGGAACATTAAGATAGGTATGTATAAAAACCGGTTCTCAAAGAATTCCTTAATAGAATGATTTTAGATTAGCTTTCATTTTGTTTGAAGATACGACTGGACTCATTGGAGTCCATATGAGGATTTCTTCGAACTCTGACTTTCGATTTTTAAGAATAAGTCCTTCGCCTACCGATACACTCCAGCGACAAATACTTGCTGAGATTATGTCCATCATGTGATGGATAACCTCAGAGCAAGGCATCATAATTTTACTTAACCAAAACACGAAGGAAAAGAAAAGTAGCAGGCTGCAAATCTCTCTAGTCCTTTAGTCTAAATTCTTCCACTTAATGATATATCTCTTGATTTGGTTGGCTATCCTATAACTCCTCTCATTTCTTGTTAAATATTAAAGTGGCTGCAGGTGACACATGAAGCGGATGCAATCGTCACCAAATAGCTACATCATCAGCTAAATCATTTATAGTTTTTTATCCTATAAGGTTGCCGCATGTGAAGGATTTCGATTGCCTTGATGCAGTAACGTTGACGTGCAATAGACCTGAAAACCCATTTTGCTTTTGTGAATTATAGTAAAAGTATGGTGCCCTGCTTTGAGGATATCTATCACATGACGGAAAAAAGCTCAGCAAGGATTCTTCGTTGTAGCATTACGGTGAGCAGAGGACTAATTCGCACAAATCGAAAGTCACATCTCTGAGACAATCCTCCATCAGACTCCGTTGTAGCCAACTTACGAATTCATTCCATTTGCCTATCCAAACAAAATAAAATGTACCCAAACAAAAATAATAAAGTAAACCTTTTGTTATTTTGAGATTGTACTATGCAAAAAGTAATATATTTTTAATAGAAATGGAAAGGGCAAGAATAAGTAGGAATTATTAATTTTAGCAATTGCAGGTAAAAGCCCCTCCTGCAGAAAAAACTCTTGATGATAGAATGTACTTTTTAAATTATACAACCTAGTGAAGATAAGTGAAATAAAAGCGAATATCTTGACTAAATATTGTGTGAAGAAATGCTGATAAAATAAAACGACTTGCTTGTCTGAAAGAAAAGATATTTAAGTATTCTAAAAGCTCCGTTCAATGTCAATTTTTGGAGGATACATTTCTTTTAAATAACACACTTTTCCTCTTTTAATTAGGAAATATTCTTTAAAATTCAAATTTATTAAAGTGGATAGGATTTTCCTTGAGCGGTTCTAAACTAAAGATGCTATTGACTCGAATAAAGAATTTACTGACCATTAAAGCAATCTGGAAGAATTATTATTATTAAATTTACAAATGCTAAATGACTTGTCTATGCATATCCATGGGTAGCATTTCCATTTTATTGGTAAGAATTTGAGGTTACAATTTACTGCTAAATGAAAGTGAGGTTTTTATAAGTGACATTCTTTCCGAAATACCAATCTTACTTATATATAAATATATATTTCGAGAAAACGCATAAAATACCATTATTTATAGGTATAACTCTATTTATCTGAATAGTCGGAAGAATCTTTATAGAGTTAATTAAATTTCATTAATAATGGTCTTTTATATTTCTTTGTCAATGTTAATTATGAAAGACGTGTTCCCTGAATTCTTTTTTCCCCAACCTACAGGAGAAAGATATATATCTATCTTTAACTATATGAACCGAACATTTCTATTTATCTCATACACTCTTTTGGTTTTCAACTTATTTACATAAATTTACATTTACTTGTACAATACAGTAACATCTTTATCAAGAGTCATTTTACTTGAAACACTCTTTATCATCACACAAGGCCAAAAGTATATGATATATTAATGTTTTTAGTGCAAGTAAATTTATCAAGAACACTGACAATAGTTTAGTTACACTACAGTATCCTTTTTCAATTTTAACCCCAATAGTCATACGTAATCTACTATACTCGTCAACTGGATGCTGCCATATCAAGGTGGGAGAGCACCACGGTATCTGAACAGACTTTCTTAATTTTGACTAATTTACAAGCTAATGCAACCTACTTCCTCAAAATTCGAGCCGTAAATGCGGCTGGATTAGGCCCATTGAGTGAAGCTGCCACTATCATCGTAACTCCTGGGCGTAAGTATTAATAACTTGCTATACATATATATATATAATTATTCCTAAGTATCATCCTTTTAAACAAATTACTGAATATATTTTTGTCATTTGATCTTGAACTAAAAATTGATAAGCTTTATCTTTCCTAACTTCCCATTTTTTAATCTTTTGTTATACTTTATTAATTTGTATTTACAAATTAAATATTATAAAATTTATGTTTAATTTCTTTAACTTTAATCTAAAATTCAAATATGCAATGCTGAAAAACTCCTAGCACTCAAAACATTTATTTTATTCATAATTAACCAACTGTTATGAGAACTAATATGGTATGTCATTTAATTTTGTTGCAATTTCCATTATATGCATGGCCTTAGTTTGATAGAGTTCAAAGTAAGCCTCGAAGAAGATACCTTGATCAATTGTTCATAACTTAAAATAATAATATTTATTAAATAAGTATTAGTCTTCTTAAGAATTACTTGCTTATAAAACTTGCAATTAATTAAATTAAAAAATTAGCTCATGAACTAAACACGCTTAATAATTCATTATGCAGGAGCAAAATGTTTTAAATAACATTAAATAACTTGTTATTTAGATATAAAATAAAAAAATTTAACTTAATGGCATCAGTTGCAACATTTTAATGTAGAATTATTCATCATAAGCAATTAATTGTTAACTTAAATGCAACTCTAAGAATAAAAAAAATATTTTTCGTTTATAAGTAGGTTGTCAAGACCACCATAATTTATTTATGACAAAAGTCTTTTAGAGAACTTTAAAGAAAATTACATCTAATCTTTAAAAGTTGATACTTACATGGATAAATGCACTTTACCATCTCATAAAAGGCTGTTAAATAATTATTATAACTTAATTTCTAATATTCCATTCAATTGAACATTATCAATTAAAAATTTCCTAAAACTATTTCTGAATTTACATTATTTATTTATTGATAGAAAGTTATATCGGCTCATGTACAGTTTAGGGAAGTTGAATTATATTGCCTCTCTTATTTCTTACACCTTATCTATTTTATTCTGTTACATTTATAAGCAAGCTATAAATTTATATATATTTAATAGTATGAAAAGATGTAAAGGCTCATCAAGCAAAGCGGGATTTTTACAACCTTTATATATTAATCATGGGATTGTTAAATTATTTTAATTTAATTTTTTAATTCCATAATCTTTAAATCTATCATTAATTATAGTGTCTATCTTGACAGATGAAATCTGTAAGTTTGTGACATGAATGCATCAATGCATTTATCACCCTAATTCACATTACTTTCGCGATTTTGTTTCACCTGCTGCAGCCGCCTAGGAAAGCGCTTTTTAGTTTTATGGATCTCATGATCACTCTTTATAATACCAACTTACTTCCCCTTAGTTTAGGTACGCATGTAAAATGCATGAAAGCTAATCTTACTCTGTCATACTCGCTAGCTTTTTTTGTATCTCGAAGCAAGTATTCACTTTTAAAATTAATGTTGTAATAAAATCTTCACTCAATTATGTTACTACTTAATTATTTTGTTAATAATATATCTATATATCCTATATTTTCACAATACCTTATTAATTTTTTGCATTCGCTAAAATATTTTCTGACATGCTATTATGTTTAATCAAAAATATCTACGTTTATTATCAGTGCCACCAGCTCCGCAGGATTTGATAGTCTCCAATCGTGGATCTACTAGTCTTGAGCTAAAGTGGCAATCACCAAGTCTTACAAATAATATTCACCTAACGGGGTATACGCTTAAATATCGAGCGGAATCAGACAGCAATCATAATCCCCCTGGCTGTATTGAAACGCCTGCTCCAAATAGAGAAAGCTTTACTATCAAAGGCCTCTATCCAAATACCCGCTATTTTATTTCATTGCAAGCAGTTTCGCGTGCTGGAGAAGGCATAGCAGCTCAGATCTCAGAACGTACTCTTCCTGAATGTAAGTACTGATTATTTAGAATCTACGGTTGGCTTTCCTGATCAGATTATTTTAAAGTTATACAAATTTTGAGCCATGAATAATAACGAAGGTGGTATAAACATAGATCGAAAATTGTCGATGAATTTATAGGCTTTACAGTCTGCAAGCAGGCAGTTTAGTAAATCGAAGGTATGAAGACCAAGATGGTGTGGCCTTTTGTGTGGTCGCAGTCTCCTTTCGTTGTATAGA